ACAGGGAATGTGACAACCAGTAGTGCTGATACACAGGGAATGGAGCTCTGGGCCATTCCCCCTTACCCAGCTGTGATAGCCTGGTCCAGATCCTGCCTACAGGGCTTTGCACCCCAGTGGGCAGGGCACCCCTCTAAACCTAACTTGGGCACTATGAGGGGTTGGCCCGAGCTGCCACCTATTAGGCCTCTTGGCCTGAGACCACCCCCAGCCCTGCCAGCAGCATCAACTTTTCCCCAGCAGCAGGGTGCGCTCTGCCTCCAGGGCCTGTGCACAGTGCTCCAGCACTGTCTGCTCTCTCTGCAACTGCCACAGCTGCTCCAAGCAGGTCCCAGGTTGCTGGTGGCTCTGGCCCAAGCTCTTCTGAGAGTCTCAGCCTTGTCATCCTCTTTCCCACTGTGTCCCTAGCACCCCTTCATCTAACCTTTGAACCACCCAGAAATAGGGCCAGGTTCCTGTGCCTCTCTGCCACTGGACACCGGTGGGCTCAGTCAGTGCCCAGGGTTCTGTGGGGGCAGGGCTGACCCTGCCAGGGGTCTTGACCCATTCCAGATGAGCACTGGCAGCTGCTCCTGCAGCAAGGCCATGTCTTGATCCTGGCAGGGGTCTCAGCTGCCCCCAGCACCTGGGCCATGTATCCAGCCGTTTTCCTCCAGGATTGGCAGGCAGGGCCCCAGCCTCCTCCCATGCTCCAGGTCACACTGGGCTGGACATGGCAAGACTCCTGCTACCTCCCAGGGGCATATTGTGGCAGAAGCCTCATCACAACTTGAGTTATAACACTGCACAAGCTCTTCCCTACCTTCTGGCCTCAGTTTCTCCATCTGGCCAGGAGAAGAATGAGCTGATCACAGGAGCTTCCTGAATATCGGGAGGGGGTCCCTCTGAGGTTGGGCAGAAGCACCTCCACGGCCCTCCTCCCCCAGCTACTGCTCTGAGAATGAAGACAGAGAACAAAGTACATGGCAGGCCCAGTGTTCAGGGCCCTGCCATGCGGGCTCTCATGTCATCCCTACCTCAGGAGTCCCCAGGCTGGGCTCTGGATCAAGGGGCTGCTGGCACATCTGGCCCAAATGCCGAGGGACCTTTCCCATCTCTGAGTGTAGTAACAGGATCCTAGGGACAGAAGGGACTGTCTGTCTGCCCTTCACCACTCCACCCTCCTCTAATGTCTCCCTGCACCTCACTTGTCTGCTAAGTCCCTCCCACTCCTTCTGTGCCTGGGATCCCTATAGCTGGTCCCTCTCCTCCTCCAGGCTAAGGAGCACTGCTGGGAGGAAGACTGGAGGCAGCAGGTGCAGAACAGCTGGGGAGGCCGACCCAGCTTTCCTACCCTGCCAGGCAAGGCAGCATCAGCAACCTCTGAGAAAGCAGATTCCTAGCTAGAGGCCTAGCTGATCGCCCAACATGAGTCTGAACCCTAGATTGTACACAAGGGACTGTGGCCCACTGCTCTGGGAGGAGGGGGGACTGCTCAGCTGTTATCTATCATGACAGGCTCCAGATGTGTAAAAATCCCCACCCCCAGCTGGCCTAGAACATACCACGTCTCCTCCCCAGCTACTGATAGTGTCAGCACTTAGGCCAGCAAGAGGACTGGGAACGTTATTGCTAGACAGCAAAAAAACACACGGAGACAGTTGTCAACCAAGTTCTGAGGGTCACCCGGGCCTGAGAGGGAGCAGTGGGTCCAGGGGAGTTAGCTCTGGGCTGAAGCACTGAGTCACTAAAGACCTAGGTCTATAAGGTATCAGAGTGGCATGAAGCAGGGATGTTGGTTACATCCCCAAAACGTCTCAACAACCACTGTCACCTCCGTCTAGCTTCTGGGGATGACTGGCCTTGTAAGGAAGCTCTTCTGCCCACTGAACACATGGGCAGAGTCTTTCTTTTGCCTCCAGCTGGTGCCCCCAGCCACGTCCAGCTCATGCCTCTCAAACACAAGCACACCTCTGGGGCACCAGAGACTACTGTTCATCCTGGCATCCCTGTTAGGGACTCTGTTCCCCTCCTTCTTCAGATCCCCTAGACCCTGGTAAGCCCTCTCCTGAGAACATGACACCACGTGTGAGCACTAGCCCTGAGCATTCTGGTTTTCAGCTTGGTAAGAGGAACTTATTAGCACAGGGGATCTCACTGGGCTGCAGAAAGGCAAGGAAGACCTGGGGGAGAGGACAGGAGCCTCACTTTCTGCTTCAGAGCCAGTGGCTCACACTCGCCCAGCTGAGTCCCAGCTTGTACTCACACCTCTGTAGCACCAAGGCTTGCTCTGACAGGGTCTTCAGTGATGCCTGCAGCCAGCCAGGCAACTCAGCCTGTTGCCACTTGCTCTCTGCCCGCCTCCAGTCCCACTCTGGGGCCTTGTCTGAGCACTTGCCAAGGGAGAGGGGAGCCAGGCTGTAGCCTGGATCATGGAGGACTGCTGTGACCAATTCTCCATGTTCACCTGCACCCTTCAGTGGGGCTCAGTGGATGGACACAGTCCAGTGGCCAGAGGTGACAGAAGTGTTGGGGACAGCTGGCAGAGCTGGGCAGACCCTGGAGCTGGGGCAGTCCTGGGTTCCCAAGCACCAGCCTGAACCTCCCCCTCCCCGACCTTGGATGCAGAACTGAGGCCCTGGGCTGGGGGTGCAAGGAACTCCCAACCCTGACCCCTGATCCAGGGTCCCTGAACTGACCCCCTAGCAATTTGGATTTCATGTAAACACCAGTCTCAACTCTGCCAGAGTCCTCAGTTCCAAGCTTCCATGAGCCATGGGTGCTGACTGTGGGCAGCCAAGAGGTAATCATCCTGGTTCAGGAGGGGAACTGAAGCTCTGGAAGGAAGTTAGATGGCCCAGGTCATGCTGGGAATTCAGGGAATACCTGGAACTCCCACCCAATGCTGCCCAGCACCCTCCCCATCCTGCCCACAGCACTCCTCTTCCCAGTCTGAAAATGGCAGGGTCCTGGGGAACATTCAGGAGCCACTACAGGGAACTCAGGAGGCAAACAGGCAGCTCAGCTGTTGCCATCTCCTACTCACTACTCCCCTTGTCACCTCCAGGATCTGGGTCTGAGTCCTACCACTGTCCTTCCACTCCTGGGCACTAGGCCCTTGTCCAGCTCTGAGAGGGCCCAGGAGGCGTGTCTCCAGTGAGCAGTGAGTGCCAGGGCATCTCTCCCATCCTACAGTCCCAGACCAGCCCTGTAGGATGGCACCACCTCCAGCAGGCTCCTCCCCTCTGGACACTTGGCTGTCCTCTCTCCACACCCTGCCCAGATTCCTGCAGCATCTCCTGTCTCCCCATGTCACCACCACCTAAGGTCAGGCTAAAACACTCCATGAGCACTGACCCCTGCTTCCACTCCCCACCCCCTGGCACAGAGCCCACAGCGCCCTCTAACTGGGGGCTCTCTCTCCCCAGGGAGAAGTGAGGGTCTCTCCACACTGAGAACCTCATGTCGGTGCAGCAGGGAATGGGGAGCGGGCTAGGCATGGGCTAGATTGTTGGGCATGAGGAGCTGAGGGAGCGCAGCATCTGATCCCTCCTGAGGATCCCAGGGAGGCTTTCCAGGGAGGTGACCCTGGGGCTGAGGCTCAAAGGTGAACCAACTGTCCTCAAAGAAGGCAAAGCTGGATGTGCCAGACAAGAGCGCATGGACAGCAGAGTCAAGAAGTGCGAAAGGGGTGGGAGGAGGGAGGCCAAGTGGGGCTGGGGGGTTCCAGTGGATGCAGGGCACGGATATCTCCCTCCCACTCTTGAATTGTGCTCCAGACCTCAACTCACACCAAGAGTGAGCCCAGGGATGGAGACTTGAAAATCATGGGGGGTGAACAATAGGTGTGGAGCAAGCTCCTCTGGGGTGACCCACTGGAGGCATGAGGTGCAGTACCCCAGCTTCACCAAGGGCCTGATGGGTGTGAGTAGTTCCAGGAAAAGACACAAAAAAGGAAACTCTAGCAGGAAGCCTCCAGGCTGCAAGGATGAAGAGGAAGTGTTGGGAGACGGCTCCTCTCCACTCAGCAAGAGAGCTGCTTCCTTTCTGGGAGCAGGACTCCTGGGTTCTCCGTGGTGGGAGGGCTCCTGGTTACCCCACCAGAGTCTGGCACCTGGGGCAGTGCTGGGGACCACAGCCTGTTAGACCTCTGTCCTGAGCTGCAGGTGTGTCCAGGTTTCCCGCAGCCATGGAAATGACGGGCGGGCCACTGACAGCACAGACCCTCCACCTGGTCCAAGTGGTTGAAGTCCTGCCGGAGGGTGGGGGGAACAGCCCTGGCCGGGGCTGGTGGCCTCCTCCGATGCCTAAAAGTTTGCTGAATCTCCCGCTCCCTGTCAGGTCCTTAAGGGGTCGGGTCCCATGAGCAGGCGCCTGGGGGAAGGAGAAGAACTAGAGGTCACCCTGAGAACTGGGGCGGCTCCCGAGTCTCCACTGGGGCTCAGTCTTCTGTTCTACTCAGTTCTGTTGTTTACTCGAGCAGGGGTGGTGCAGCTGACCGAAATCTGGGAGCATTAAGCACCCCCTTCAGCCACACGGTCACACCCCAATTGCAGGGGGAGCCACAGGCAAAGGCCCTGGGGCATCTTTACAGCTCTGGAGGCAGACCCCATTGCGACAGCGCCAGGTGCGGCGCGCGTCCCCTGTCCTGGGTGGGGAGGAGGCACGGGTGGGCGCAGCCGTGGTGCTGGGGTCCCCCCAAACCTGGCCCGCAGGGATCCCCGTCCCGGCCGGCTGCTCCGCCCCGCCGACCTCGCGTGGCGTGGGGCAATTAGGCGCCGCACCCGCCCGCTTGGCTGCGCGACGCCCGCGACATAGAGCCCGCGGCGAGGTAGCTGGCAAAGTGAAGCCTCCCAAGGGACCACGACCTGCTCTGGAAAACCGGGCCTCGCGATCCCGCCCCGACAAAGCGTGGGGCCCTAGGTGGGAGGGGTCTCGGTGGCCCCACGCTCAAGGCACAGAGAAAGAGGTTGTCGAGTGACTCCGGGGAGAAGAGCAGCTGGGAGCCTGACCGCGGCAGGGCGCGGGGCCTCTGGGTGGCGGAGTTTAATAGAGAAAGAGTGCCGGCTGGCAGAAAGACGCTCCAAGGGGCTCAAGAAAAAGGGGGCGCCCTCTTCCAGATCCCGGCCCCTGGCCAGGGTCTCCTGAGACACCTGCCGTGGCTTGCGCGTGTCTTTCCAGAAACGGCTCTGCAAGCACCCGCCAGCTGGGGCGTGGCGCCCAGGCTTTCAAAACCCCCCCACTCGCCCAGGGAGTAATGTGTGGTTTGCTTCTTTCACGCAGGCGGAGTCGCGCCCGCCTTCCCGAACCGGGGCGCACGGGCCTCCGTTGTCTCTAGCGCCCTCCGGGGCCCCAGAAACAATGCCGGTCCTCTCCGCGCGCGGGAAGGGGTCGGCGGGCACGGCGGGGCCGCGGCGGCGGAGCGGGCGGAGCCCCGCGGTGGCTCTGGCTCCACCTTTCGGCTCCCAGCGCCCCGCCAGCCCGCTTCGTGCATCTGTCCGGCCTCGGGAGCCTCCGTGCATCGCGATACGGCGAGCGGCGGGCCGCGACCGGGGACGTCCACTTGGGTCTCCTAGAGGGAGCCTCCACGGCTGCGGCACCCGCCGGAGAGGGGCGGGATGGTCCCCCAGAGCCTTCGAGTCCGGGGCTAGAGCGGCCAGGCCTCTGGGCCGGGTCGAGCCGGGGTCGACGACGGCTGCGTCACGTGAGGGGGCGGGGCCGCCACGGGCGGAGGCCGGAGCCGGAAGCGGAAGAGCCGCTCGGAGCGGGGAGTGGGGCCTAGCCGCAGCCGGAGCCTGGGAGACGGTGAGTGTGGGCCGCGGCCCGCGTTGGCGGAGGCTGGGGTGAGTCGGCGGGGCAGGCAGGCTGGTGCGGGGATCTCGGCTCCCTGTTCTGTCTCGGCCTACCCGCTTTCTCTCTCTCTTTGGCCCCGACCTCTCACCCCTGACCCGCCGCTTCTATCCGGGAGGGCGGTCACTGCAGCCCCCGACTTGTGGATCCCGCGGTGCTGGAGGCGGAGCCTGAGCGGTGTCTGAGGCTCCTGCGAGGGTCCACTTTCGGCCCAATGCCTGGCCTCAGGGTGGGATCCGGGCCGACCTAGGACAGCCGGAAAGGCTTCCTTACGGCGGCTCGGGGCTGAGTCCGCAGACTCCACCTCCGCGCGCCGCCTGGAGTTTGGTTCCGACCCAGGCTGGCCTCTGCCCGCTGGGTCCGCCCTTGGCGCCACTGGTGGCGGTTACTGGGAGCGGGGCTCCGAGATCTCGGGGACCCGGGGCGAAAAGGGGGGACGCAAGCGAGGGCCGCAGGCCCCCTCGGTATTTTGTTGTGATGATGGGGCCGCTCCAGCCCGGGGTATGGGCCAGACTAAGCCCGCAGTACCAGTGCCCAGGCTGCTCCGCGGTCCAGTCGGCAGGCTCTGTGCTTTAGTTCCGGGTGCGGGTGCCCTGATGTGCCGGGGTGGGAATTGCCTGAGCCAGGCCCCCGTCGAGGCGGAGTTGGCGGCCTTCCAGCTTCCCTCCTCTGTGCCCTTGAAAAGGAGGAGCGTTTCACCCGGTGGCGGCGGCGGCTTGCGAGGTGGCAGGTTTGAGGTTGCAGTGGTGGGGCAGTGCCAGCCAAAAATAACCATGGGGCGCTGGGGTGGCTGGAATCCGGGAGGGCAGCCGCTGACCTGGCTGGCTGCTCTTGTCAGCCCAGTTCTCTAGCCAGGAACAGCACATGAGAAGCCGGCTAGGCCTGTGCTCAGAGAAAAGCTGGCATCCTCGGCTTGGTTTTCTTCACGTCTCTTTTTCTCCATTGTGCATAGCAGAGGCTCCCAAAGCAGAATTGTGGCCCTTAGTTTAAAAGAACTGTCTGCTGAGGTCTCAGGCAATCAGAGACAATTTGTGAGAAATGGGCCCTAGAGTCCTGGCTGAGAGGATGCCAGGGGGGACCTGGTGTTTCCCATATTGCACAAGGGAGCAAGCGATCCTGTTGTGTGTGTGTGTGTGTGTGTGTGTGTGTGTGTGTGTGTGTACACTTCATGGCTTTCATACTTGACATCTCCTTCACCAGGCTGGAAGGTATTATCTCTGTTTTCTAGGCATGATAACCAAGGCCTACAGTGACTTGTGTAAAGTCACAAGGCAAGTAAGTGACACCACTGGGATTTAGGTCAGTATTTTCTGCCAGAACTCTCTCCTCTCAGGTTCCTTGGAAGTGGCTTGTAAATTGTCCTAAGGCAGTACCCTAAAGTGGTACTTGGAAGCTTCACGTGTCAATGAAAACCTCTGTGGGCCCAAACCTGTGCTAGGCATATGACTTTATAGGGCATACATATTTAATTCTCACAGACCCTTGTAAGATTTTACTGTTCCCTTGTCTAGAGAGGAAGCTAAGATCAGAGAAGTTTTAATAACTTGTTTCAAGGCAAACAGCTGGAAGTGGCATTGCCAAGATTCAGTTTGACATCTGACTGAAGCTGTGACTTGCCACACATATAGACATAAGAATCTTCTAGGTCCCAGGAGGTAGTCTTTGACCTGTTGTGGAGTAGACCATATCTTCTAGATGTGGTGTTCGGTCTGCCCAGTGAGGATGGGCAGGACCACACTTGCCTTGGGGTAAGGCTTGTGCCCTGGCCAGTGGGATGTCTTTCTGGTCAATTAGTGAGAGGTGTCATAGAATTTTAGGCCATAGCGTGGGCACCTGACCCAAGGTAATTGCAGGAAAACAATGAAACATTAGTCAGCTGATCATCAAAACAGCAATATAAGCTCTTGGAGCGGTCATCAATTTTACCTAGGATTTATATCCAAGGATTGTTGGGGACCAGACTTCCCAGGTGGGGAGCTGCTAGTGGGGAAATGGAGGGTGGCAGTACTTTACCTAGCATCACAGAGATGCTCCAGGGGTGTTGGCTGCTGTGTGTCCCCATCCTGCTCATCTGCAGGGGACCATTCCATCTTGCTGGACTCACTGTACTGAGCTGATAAGATGGGTCTGGGTGGATTTGTCCAAAATGTGCTTGGTTAGGCAAGCTTAGGACTGCCCATGACTGGAGATAGGCTGTGGCCAAGAGAAGGCTTGGAAAGGAGGCCGGTCATGGTCTCTGCCCAGTCATTCCGTAGAGGTAGTGTCAGAGGTTGGGATATGCGTGGAACAGGGAGCTGGCCTCACATAACCATCTCTTCCAGCTGGTGGCTGATCCAGCCTGGCAATCTTCTGTGGTAGACCTAAGTTCTCATGGACTTAGTGAGGAGGGCCCTTATGTCCTTCCTCACTGTGCAGACATACCTGCAGCCAGCTAACCCCCTGACTGAGGTGGACATAGGAGGGGAGCTTGAAGAGGGGACTGTCAGAAAAGGGCAAGGCACTTGGTGGGCACTGCAAATGGTCTGAGGGGTGCCAGATTGGCCTTGGGCAAGAAACTTGGATGTCTGAGGATCTTGGCATCCTCCTGGTGCTGAGCCCTCAGCAAGAGCTGAGCAAGCCTCTGGGTACACATCCACTTGGCTGGACCCTCAGGGGAGCTAGGGAATGTTGGTGAGACCTGTGTACCTCTTTCTCTAAGGGCCAGTCTTCTCATTTCTGCTATGGCTCCTCACACTGACTGTGGTCCTTACTCCCTTAAGTGGGATCCAGTTCAGGGCTTAGCCAGGCAGCTTTCAGCTTCTTAAATCAGGGCTGTAGCCCCCTTGCTCCTTCTGTGTGTTGGCTCCATGCCTGTAGCCCTTTGGCTTCAGGCTTGCCAGAGCATTCAGGTCCTGGGACTCCACAGGCAGGAAGAAATTGATCAAGGAGACTCCTCTTTCTCTCTGTGCTTGGCATCCCTGTGACAGAGCTCTCCATCCCCACCCTCTGTTCTGGCATTGTCACCTGGGCCTTGACTCACCCAGTTCCCCAAGTGCTTGGGCCCCCAGGCCATGGTAGGGAGGCAGCTGTTTGTTTGTTCACTGGCAAAGAAGGGAGTTACCCATTGTCTGCTGTTTGACCAGTGTGACCTCAGAGTTCTTCTTCACTTCATAAACCCCTGGGAGGGGCCACCCCAAACAGAACAATGGGCCTCTTCTTCAGGGGCACCTGGCTGCCCCCAGCAGCCCTGTGGCTGGAACCGGCTGGCTGTGTGTTGAGCAGGACTCTCTTTCTTGCGGCCTAGATGCATCACTGTAAGCGATACCGTTCCCCTGAGCCAGACCCGTACCTGAGCTACCGCTGGAAGAGAAGGCGGTCTTACAGTCGGGAACACGAAGGTCGACTGCGTTACCCATCCCGAAGGGAGCCTCCCCCTCGGCGATCTCGCTCCAGAAGGTGAGTGGGAGCTGGGTTGGAAGGAAGTGCTGCTTTCCTCAGCTGTCCGGAGGCTTTGGCAGCCCTAGGCTCCTTAAGACAACTCCGCCTCTGCCCAGCTGCCCCTGGAGCCCTGCCTTGACTTCTTTGAGCTCTTCAACAGCAGCTACTTTCCTTGCCACTCCTTTCTTTGCCCCGGAGTGCCCTCCCTCTTCTTTTTACACTTTGGTCCACTTTCTAGGCCAGCATCTTCTCTGCTAACTTCCTGAGCTTTCCCCACTGGGAGTTAGGAATGTAGCCTCAGCCTTGTGAAGAATGGTCCCTGGTCCTGTCTCAGGCCCCAGGTCAAAGTTCCAGTTGCAGCAGGCAACTCTAGTACTCTTGGAGGCCTTGCACCCCAAACCCTGCCTCTGGAGACACTGGAGGGATGCTGTCATTGCCAAGGTTCTCGAGGGTACCTTCCTACCTTCCCTCTCTTGCTCACTCCCTGTCAGCCTGGATGCTTCTGTTCCACCAGGCTGTCCTTGAGAGCCCTTTGCAGGGGTCCTACCACAGCACAGGCCTCTTGCAAAGAGCTGTGGGGCTGTGGGACCCCACTTAACTTATGTTTCCATCTCCTTCTTGGCAGCCATGATCGCCTGCCTTACCAGAGGAGATACAGGGAGCACCGAGACAGCGATACCTACCGGTGTGAAGAACGGAGCCCATCCTTTGGAGAGGACTGCTATGGATCTTCTCGTTCTCGTCATCGGCGGCGGTCACGGGAGAGGGGCCCATACAGAACTCGCAAGCATGCCCACCACTGCCACAAACGCCGCACCAGGTCTTGTAGCAGCGCCTCCTCGGTGAGTGCTGGCCAGAGTGTGCTGGCTGGGGCCTAAAGGCCTCATCTCTTTCTAGCCTCCTCAGGCTGGCTGGTCTGGGTGAGTACTGCCAGCCCTGTGCACGCGCACTGCTGTGCGTGTATGTGTGTGTGCGTGTGTGCGTGTGATCTGGTCCAGATGCAGGGCTGTGCATAGGGGCCTGGTCCTCTGGCTTCTGGCCCTTTGCTATAGGGGCTTTGGCTCCGGCGCTGGCTGGTCCCCAGCCTGACTGTGTCCACACACTGCTTCAGACACATGCCACATGGTACAGGTGGCCTGGAATGCTCCTCAGGAATTGTAGCAAGGGTCTGGGCTACGGGCCTGGTCTTTCCCAGGAGCTTGTCTTCCATGAAAGTGAGTGCTCTGACAGGCTGGACTGCACCCACCTCTGCAGTGTCATCTCACATCCCTCCCCAGAGCCCTCATGGGAGGGGACAATTTACCTATCAGTCTACTCACATTTTTTTTTTTTTTCTTAAGTGCAGGGTCTCATACGTACTAGGCAAGCACCCTGCCACCAAGTTACATCCCCAGACCTTTATTTTCTTTCTTTCTACCACCTTCCCCGCCCCACCCCCACCAAGATTTTAAGTACTGGCCTTGAACTCATGAACTTCCTGCCTCAGCCTCCTGAGTGCAGGGTGCCACTGCCTGGTTTCCCCAGCCCTTCTTTCCTTTTTTTTTTTTAATAATTATTTTTTTATTGCAGTGCTGAGGATTGAACCTAATGCCTTGCATATGATAGGCAGGTGTTCTACCGCTGAGGTATATCACCAGTCCTTTCTTTCTTCTTTTTTTTTTTTTTTTTTTGATAGGGAGTTTCACTATATTGCCCAGACTGGGCCCAACCTTCCAAGTACTTGGGATTATAGGTGCACACTACTATGCCTTGTCAGTCAACTCAGATTGGGAGCTTCCTTTCTGACCTCCAGCCAGGCCCTCTTTAGCAGCTGTTACAGGAGGGGCAGTTACGGAGAAGAGGGGCAGCTGCCTGTGTGATGAAATGGCAAAAGGGCCTGCAGTTGAAGACCTCATCCTGTTGTCCTTTCGCAGGCCACATCCTAAGCAGGGCCTGGCTTGTGTTCTAGTATGGTGGATTGTACAGCTTTCTGCTGAGACCGGCAGCCCACGCTGCACTTAGTCCTGTAGGAAAGGAAAGCCAGTTGTGTGTTTCTAAGGCTATGTGCTTTCTTCTCTTTTCCTTCCATCCCTCTTCCTTGCCTCCCTCCTGCCTGAAGAGTAGTGGTAGGATCAGTGGAGGCATCTTCTCTGCCAACTTCTCTTTGTGATTTCTTTGAGTGGACATGGATTGAAGGTTGACTCAGTGCAGGTGAATCCAGCATGGCTTTGTGGCCTCTGCAGTGCCACATGCTGCCATAGGATGGCAGTGCAAGTCTGTGGCTCTGCTGCTTCTCTTTTTGGTGCCCTCTGTTGTCATGGGATGGGCCTGGCCTGTGAGCAGCACAGCCAGGAGCTGGCTTGGGGCCTGTGTAGGCCATTGTGGTAGGAGACCTGGAGGTTGACTGGCCCAGAAGATCCCAGCCAGTCTCGTTTCTTCCTTGAGACTAGTGGCAAGAGGGCTGCTGGCAGAAGGCTGTTTCTGGTAGTTGGTGAAGTCTGGCCGAGGATGCTGTCTTGGGGCAAGTAGCAACTTGGCTCTGCGTGGCAGCTGTTGTGCACGTGCAAGGCTGTATGGGCAAACGGAGGCAGGCAGGGACAGGCCGGGCATTCTGCAGCTGAGGCCTGGGAGGCCGTCCGGCCAGAGTGGATGATCGGATCCAGACTGGGCCAGCTGCCTTCTTGCGCCGTTTGTTCTCGCGTCTTCAGCTCTGGCCAAAGCCACCAGGGAGGGCCGGGAGGGGGAGACTCAGAAGAGGAGGGAGTCAGGGCTGTGGCTGTCCTTGGCTGGCCCCTCAGCAGCAGAGGCTGGATATCTTTCTGAGCATTTGTGGCACTCCTCTTATAATGTCCGAGTTTTCTTTACATACCTGTAGCTGTTTTTACTTTTCTGTTTTTGAAGTCAGTTTGTGTCTTGACGTGTCCCTTGCAATATCCCTATCGTTATATATGCTGTGTGCCTTATGAAATGCTGGGATCTGGAAATACCAACCAACCAACCCACCGGCTCCTCACCGTCTCCACCTCTGCCTTTGACTGACACCTCAATCTGTCAATCGGAACCGCCTACCATGCGATTGGTCGGATGGCGTTTCGGGGGGCGGTGCATGCAGAGAAGCCAACAGAGCAGTAAGCGCAGCAGCCGGAGTGTGGAAGATGACAAGGAGGGCCACCTGGTGTGCCGGATCGGCGATTGGCTCCAAGAGCGATGTACAGCCACCTTTCGTAAAACTTTACCTCTCTACTTTCTACCCCCCTTGTTAGACAAGACCTCTCCTGCGTGGAGGGGCCTCTAGAGCGCGTGGCGCCTTAGTGGGGCCACCAGTAATTGCCTGAATGACACAAACACTAGCAACTTCTGTTTTTAAGAGTGTAGCAGTGAGAGAGAAACCTTTTTTTGTTTTTGAGAATTTGAATGCTGTGAACTTACAGGAGCTGCCAGCCTCCTTCCCTTCAGATGCTCACGCCCAGCTTCTTCTCTCTTGTAGATGAGATCGTGGGGAACCTGGGTGAAGGCACCTTTGGCAAGGTGGTGGAGTGCTTGGACCATGCCAGGTGAGTGAGCTGGGGTGGCACAGCTAACTCCAGATGTGATCTTTCCAAGGAGAGCTAGCTTGAGGCTCTCAAGTGGTGGTGGCTCTTGGAACTTTCTTCTTTTTGGAGTGTAGCACATACAGCAGTTGGGTGCTAAACTGTACATGTTGGGTTTTGCTGATTTCCTAAAATAAGGAAGAAATTCTTGGAATTTGGCAGGCATGTGACATCCCTGCCCAAGAACTACTGGTCAGTGAATACTTCTGCCTCTGTTCCCCACTTCTCCAGGACTGTGAAGGTGGATATCAGAATAGGGTCCAGGTCATGGCTCCCCAGTGGTCTGGAGCTGCTTCCTGTGAACTCCTTCAGGTGCTTAGCCAGGCAGTGGGTTAGGACTGCTCCTAGCCTGGGCCTGACCCCAACCACCTCCCCAATTCGCCTGAGAGGCCAGGCAGGTCCTAACTGAGAGAGGTGGGACTCGGCTTTGTCATGGAGTAGGCTGCTGCCGTTCATCAGTGTGGCTAAGATCTCATGTAGCCCTGCTGGATATGTCAAGGAGAGTAGGAGTGTACCTTATGTGTGGCATCTCCCTCCCTCCAGGCCTAACAACGCAACACTTTTGACCCCTTGCCATTCCCCAAGACTAGAGCCCTTGACTCCTCCCCTTTAGCTCTGGGTTGAGGTTTCCGCCTGGGAGCCACTTGCCTCCCTGCCTTAATAGCCCTGTAATTGCTTCAGTGCTTTAGCTACAAAGTGATCGTGTCCTCATTTGAGCTCCATGCCATGTCAGTCACTGCTTAGAAATGGTGAACTCAGGGATTGCCTGTGACATCCCTCACTCAGCAGTTAATGGCAGAGCCAGCTTCCACTATTCACGGTGCTCCCATGTTAAGAGGAGCACATTAAGGGCAGTTGGATAAAATAGATAGAGAGCACAAACGTAAATATCACAATGTATCCCCCATACATCTATTTTATGCTTAAAAAAAAAGACAGTTGGACCCAGGAGTCAGCTGTCCCTGTAGCCACGAGACTGAGGAGACGTTTCCATTTGCCCTTAGCTCCCACTCAAACACCCCTTGAGCCCAGTGTGTCCCAAGAGGTTAGGTGCAGATCCAGTGGGTGGAGAGGTAAGTCCACACTCACTGTGAGTAGATGGAGAATAGGACAGATCTGAGAACTGTGACACGAGGGAAGCTAAGCTATCTGGGCTGTCCTGTGCCACTTTGAGTAGGCGGAGGGGAAATGAGCCTCGGAAGTTACTAACGATGCACAGGGTCCTGGGAACATTTAAGGAACCCAAATGGAGTTGGGGCAGGGTCTTTGAAGTAGGTTCGTGGAGGCAGAATTCAGCTAAGCCAGCAGCCTTGGCAGGAGCTCTTTTGGATGCCCCCACGCATCACCAGGATGGGAATGCCATGGAGAAGGACCTTGCACCAGGAGGAGGCCTCCTATGAGAGTTGGGAAGAGGGCGACGAGGAGGGAAAGCAGGGCATCCTCTAGAAGCTGTCTTTGTCTGGACATATGAAACTGTCCCCAGGCACCAAGACCTCAGAGGCCCTAGAGGACATACCCTTGAGGGCTGGTGCCTACTCGCTCCTGGTCCGTGCTGATATCTGTTGCTGACAGGGCCTTGCAGCCCAAACTCAAACTCAGCAGGTTTCCTTTTGTTCCCATTCTTCAAATGGTCTACTGGGGTGGGGATATGAAAGGCAGAGCAGGGACTATTAAAATTCTCAGGGTTCCTGGCTTTCTGGTTGCTGGTGAATGCTGTGGCCAGTAGGCAGGCAGGGAAGAGGGCCTGGTGAAGGTGTCATACAGGGAGCAGGCCTGGCCACTCAGTGAGAGAACTCCACTACTGGCATCCTACCCTCTTACTAGGCTTTCTCTCCATCTCAGAGCCCTTGCCCCAGAGGGGAGCCTTTTGGCTTGTGGAGCTCAAGTCAGGAGGTGTGTGGGAGGGCTTTGAGGGGGGACAGCTTGACTTCCAGGGTAGGTTACTGAGTGAGCACCTGGGTGGCACTGGTCAGCAGGATAGGCTTCTACTCCTCTGCCTGCACTTCTGGAAGTGGCTGAGAACATAAAAGCCTAAGGTTAGCCTGGAGAACGAGAGTGGCAACGCAGACGCCAAGGGAAACTTGGTGTTAGGCAGGCAGCAGTCTGGTGATGCATAGGAAAAGCTGGGCCTTGAGTATCTGCTCTCTCAGGACAGGCCTTTCCTCCAGCTGGGTTGGGGTGGAGCGGAGAGGGTGGCAGCTGCTAATGAGAATCTCTGCTTCCTTGCTGGGCCCCAGAGGGAAGTCTCAGGTTGCCCTGAAGATCATCCGCAATGTCGGCAAGTACCGGGAGGCTGCCCGGCTAGAAATCAATGTTCTCAAGAAGATCAAGGAGAAGGACAAAGAGAACAAATTGTGAGTGTCTGCAAGGAGTGGAAGGGAAGCCTTCCATGGGGACAGCGAACTCTACCCTGACTGCCTGGCCCCTGGGGGCTTCGAGTGTCCTGGTGCGTGTTTAGCACAGTAGCTTCTCACCACACTCAGCACCAGGGGAGTTTGGCAAGTGAGTCTTGCTAGAAAGTGCTTTTGGACTTCAGGCTTTGTCCCCAGCCAGCTCTGTGTTCTGAGGCAGGCCCCAGCCCTTCATTTGTGAGGCAGGGGCCTCACTGGGTTGTGCTGCTGCTGTTTGGGTGCTCGCAGAGAGACACTGAGCTCCTGCCCCAAGTGCACTGAGCCTGGCCGTGAGGTGCGTCTTCCCAGGCGCTCAGGAAGCTAAGCAACATGGGGAGCCTGGGCTGTCCTGGTTTGCTTCCACTTCTCCCTCAGCGACTCCTGAGCAGGGTTTTTCCTCCGTCCCAGATATGTGGGTGAGTTCAGCTAGAGCTGGCCCCTCCTGCAGCAGGAATACCCGTCCTTGTCAGAGCTGAGCTGAGTGATGGAGGGATGCTCACTCTTGTATCCGCATCGTGGTGTTCACAGATATCTGTGGCCTAGGAGGTTCCAGTGGTCTAGGAGCAAGTGGGGATTGGTTTTGCTGCCTGGGGAGGGGTTGTGTGCAGGCAGCTTCCAGCAGCACAGAGCCTGAGCCCCACCCATCTTCCCCCAGCTTATGTGTCTTGATGTCTGACTGGTTCAACTTCCACGGTCACATGTGTATCGCCTTTGAGCTCCTGGGCAAGAACACTTTTGAATTCCTGAAGGAGAATAATTTCCAGCCTTACCCCCTACCGCATGTCCGGCACATGGCCTACCAGCTCTGCCATGCCCTCAGATGTAAGTGTCCACCCTCAGATGGAGGGAGGGGTGCCACACACCCACATCAAAGTCACCTGGAGGTCTTCTCCATTCACTCCACACGTTGCTAACCATTCTGAGTAGGCCTGAGAGGCCTGACTTCAGGTAGGAATCTCAGTGTGAGGACTGAAAGGGTTAGCCCCTTCCAGGAACTTCACGGCCTGGCCCTGCGCCTGCTTCTTTCCCCGCCCCCACCCCCAGGCACGCAGGAAGGAAACAGGAAAGAACTGCTCTAGAATTGGCCCCACTACCAATTCTGCTTCACCTTCATGCAGAGGAGAAAAAGAAGGTGAACCTGACTGGTCCCTCCACAAGTCCTGTCCACCCAGGAACCTATAATCCTCACTTAATTTGCCTGCCAGCCTTGAGAGTAGATTTGGTGGTGCCAGTGCTCAGCGCTGCAGGAATTGTGGAATTGGAACAGTACAGAAAGGTCCCCTGGAGAGGAGGGTGATAGGCTAGGACATAGCGGGGTCTGATAGGTCGTGGGAACAGGGACCAACAAGCCAGAAGAGTAGCTCAGCAAAGGCCTGGCATGATGTGTACTGAGACTCATTAGTACAGGTACATCACTGAGCTGAGTGCTTCCTTCTTGTAACACTCCCATGCTGGGGAGTGGTGGGCCATGCAGCTGTTAGTCTTGTGGGCCAACAAGAACCTTGAGGTTGAAAGCAGTGAGCGATAGGAAGCCACTGCTGGTGGGACACAGGCTGAAGGCAAGGGGCTTCCCTGCTCAGGGTTGGCTTCATGCATGTGACCTGTATAGTCAGTCACACTTAGCTTCTTAGCAAGGGGACCTGCATTTTCATTTCACAGTGAGCCCTGCAAATTATGTGCTGGGGAGGGAGTCACCCTGAGGCTGTTGCTACAGCTTTGGTGAGATCAATGAGGAGGCCTGGTCTCTGCAGAGGAGAGGTAGAGGGAAAACCTCCCCTTCCCTGCCCTTCAAGGCCTCAGGTCCAGAGCCCTTGAGAAGGAAGTCAGTGGAGGGGCTGGGTCAGGGCCAGCTCCCTGCTGAGGTCAGGGTGTGGACACCTCCAGCAGTTAATGGCTTTGGAGGAGGCTGGCAGGAGGGCCAGAGAAGCAGCTGGGGTCTCAGTGCCTACTTACCCTCTCCTCTAGTTCTACACGAGAACCAACTGACCCACACAGACTTGAAGCCAGAGAACATTCTGTTTGTGAATTCCGAATTTGAAACCCTCTACAACGAGCACAAGGTAGAGCACTGGGTGGGAATGGTGCAGCCCCACTTCTGGGTGGGTTGTCCGCTGGGGCGGACTGACCGTCTGGCCTGTCTTGCTGCAGAGCTGCGAGGAGAAATCAGTGAAGAACACCAGCATCCGCGTGGCAGACTTCGGCAGTGCAACCTTCGACCATGAGCATCACACGACCATCGTGGCCACCCGTCACTATCGCCCACCTGAGGTGATCCTTGGTGAGTGATGTTACACTGGGCAGGAGCCATGAAAGGAGAGGTGGTGTGTGTGCCTGTCGGTTGCCAGCAGGGCTGGCCAGTGTCATGAGACACTGAAGTAGTTACCTTGGCCTTGTAGGGTCAGTCTTAGGGCCTTGTAGGGGGACTTGGGCAAGAGTCCTCCCAGCCAAACTGGCAGCTTCCTGTGTCCTCTAGGCTGGGTCTCACAGCTTCTCCCCATCTTGGCTTACAGAGCTGGGCTGGGCACAGCCCTGTGATGTCTGGAGTATCGGCTGCATTCTCTTCGAGTACTACCGGGGCTTCACACTCTTCCAGGTACATTACTGAACCGAGTGCTGCAGGGCCGTGGGGGGCGGTAAGCTCCACGTGGCTAAGGAGTCATCAGGAGTGGTTGTAGCTAGAGCAGTCAGGGAGGAGTCCTCTGCTATGCTCTCAAGGGCAAGGACAAGGACTGGGGTGGGAGCAGTGAGGGTTTTGGACAAGGGGCACACCATGAGCAAGGGCGTGGAGATGGGTGGGGACAGCGTATGTCCTGGGCAGTAAGGAACGAAACAGGTGTGCAGTCAGGGCTGACCAAGTCTGAGGCTGTGAGCCTGGCCCTGGCAAGAGGCTGGCCTCATCTCTGGCTACAGGCCTGCAGGCCACCACCAGGTCAGGCTGGAACTGCATTGCATTGGTAGGTTTGCATCTCCTAAGACAAGGAGGGCTCTTCTCAGCCTGACAGGGCTGGGACTGACCCCTGCTTGCTCTCTCCCTTCTGTAGACCCATGAAAACCGAGAGCACTTGGTGATGATGGAGAAGATCCTAGGGCCCATCCCATCACACATGATCCACCGCACCAGGTAAGGAGCCCCGGTAGGGTAGTTGCCTTGGCAGTGGAGGGCCTTTTCTTCTTGGGTGTGGGTTAGCAGGGACCAGAGATACACGTGGTCTTTGCTGGACATTCCATGGCTTGCTGGGCGTTCTACCTGCTTTCCCTGTATCTGGCAAAGCTGCTGCTCAGACTTCCCTGCTGGCTAGGTTACTCCACAGTAGGCTGTTTTCCACCACTTTACCCCTCCCCTCTCTCGACTTCAGGAAGCAGAAGTATTTCTACAAAGGGGGCCTGGTTTGGGACGAGAACAGCTCTGACGGGCGGTATGTGAAGGAGAACTGCAAACCTCTGAAGGTCAGTTTCTGGCTCCCCCAGCTCAGCTCATGCCAAGGACACCCCAGGCACTGGGCAAACACCAGAGACAGGATGGGCAGCTAGCTGCCCTCTCGTTCCAGCTCTGTGTGAGGCGCTGCTGAGTGCCAGCAGTGGGGCTTCCTGCAAGTAGCCCCAGTGGGGCCCTTAGCCCCCCCTCCCTCACAGAGTATCTGTGAATGTAATAGGGGAACACCAGAAGAGCCAGATGTCAGACTCTGCTGCTTCCTGTCCCTCCCTCTTCTCTCAATTTGGGAAGAACTAGGCAGAACTGAGGTGAGGGGGAGGGAAGACCTGGCCGGGAAGTCTGTCAACTGCATTTGGTGCCTGGACAAGTGAATTTCGCAGAGGTGAAATCTACCCACCTGTCAGGACTTTGCATGTGGGGTAGAGGCACCAGCCTAGCAGCCTAAGTTCCAAGCAACATGTTAAAACTTGGGCATGAAAGGAAATGAGCTGCTGTTGTCCATTCCGGAGGGCAGAAGTAGAGTCCTCCAAGGAGGCATCGCTGCCTCCTCAACCCAGTCCAGCAAGGCATCCCAGAGGCGGGGACTGCAGTGGCCTCCCACGACCCTGCCGTCACACTGAGGCACCTTGTGTCCCTGAGCAGAGTTACATGCTCCAGGATTCCCAGGAGCATGTGCAGCTGTTTGACCTGATGAGGAGGATGTTAGAGTTCGACCCTGCCCAGCGCATCACACTGGCGGAGGCCTTGCTGCACCCCTTCTTTGCTGGCCTGACCCCTGAGGAGCGGTCCTTCCACACTAGCCGTAACCCCAGCAGATGACAGGTGCAGGCCAGCGCTTGGAGAAGGAGAGCGGGACTGGGCTGCCGGCCCCTTTTCTCCAGCCTCTCCCACCGGCCTTGGGGCCAGAGCCACCCATGAACAGTGCAATGTGAAGGAAGGCAGGAGCCTGTGAGGGGCTGTGGCGCCCAGCTGCCAGAAAGCACAGATTTGACCCAAGCTATTTATATGTTGTAAAGTTATAATAAAGTGTTTCTTACTGTTTGTAACCCTGGTGTACCGGTGGTCCGTCTCCATGCTCCCGGCCTTCCCTTCCCTGACTTCACTAATAGTCTTTCCTAGCAGCTCACTTGTGGAGGGCTAAGTGTAAGGTGTGGACTGGGCCAATGGACAGAACAGAAGCAGGGTCATCCCTCTGCCAAGCAGGCCTAGACCCAAAGCTGGGGCTGAGATGGTCGGCCAGGCAGTATCTGGTTGTTCCCTGTCCTGAAAATTCCATCACTGGCCGGGAGAGGCTGTAGGTTTACTGAGGGTGAGGCCTTGGCTGGGGGAGACAGTGCTCCATCATAGAGCAGCGCAGAGTAGTTCACAGCACAGAACTCGGGTCATTCAGCTTTTATTGTAGCACTGGTTTTTGATTCCCCAAGAGCTGCATGAATGATAGGCTTGGCCACCTCACTGGGACCCCTTGGGGACTGACCACTGGACAGGATGTCTCTGAAGAGAGCTGCAAGTAGAGAAATCACACCTATCTTTAATGCCTCTGGGAAAACCCAAGCCGAGAGCAGGGAGAGGCCCCAGTGCTACCTGGGGTGAGAAGAGGGAAAGGCATGAGCACAAATCCCAGTGGCCCCCAGGAATACTACCACCTGCTGGTGCCACCAGTCTTCAGGGCCAAGGTTCTAGCTTGTTTTCCACTGGGCCAAACCCGGGCCTGTTACCAGGTAGGCAGTCCGGACTGCTCCCAGAGTGTGGCTCTGCCTATAGAGAAGGCCCAGTTAGGGAGCTGCTTCGCCTGAGAGTAAACAGAGGCTCCCAGTCCCTGGCCACCTCTCGCCGTTGACAGTGGAGAAGGATGGGAGGAAAGAGGAACCAGCCCCCTGCCCTGCCTCATCTGCTCCTGGCTACGCTCCTCTTAAGAAAAGTGGTAAGTAGCCTGAAACCTATGGCACTAGGGCCTACCCTGTGTTCATACTCCCTGGCAAGCCTGCCTGCCTGCCTGCTCACCTATCCCTCAACCAGTGAGGGGGAGGCACTGAGCAGAAGGAAGCCTGAAGCCTTAAAAAAGGGTCAAAAGCACAAGTCCTTTGCAAGGGTCCCTGCCACATCTCCAGGCATGGCTCCTGTCCCACCAGCCTGCAGAGCCCAGGATGTGGGCAGTGGAGTGTTTCCATGGCTGAGCCCCACCAGCAATTTCATCCAGAACCAGCCTCATTTTGGCATCTTTGAGACAGGCCATTGTCCTAAAGCCTGCACGACAACCAGAAAGTGTTCAAAGCTCAGGCGTGAGAGCTGGCGTGGAGCCCAGGCAGAAGAGTGGGGCTGTCTGTGCAGGCAAGGAGGCAGGGGGAGGGGGTCTAGGGCAGAAGCACCCGGGAGCCTTTTCTGGCTCAGCACCAGGCTCCCCTGGAACCTCCCCAATACTGACATCAAAGCTGCGCCCTGAGGGTCTGCCAGACTAGACAAAGGCGAATCCCCCAGCTCTGGGGCATGGCACTGCTGGCAAGAAGGGCACTGTGGCTCTACAGGAACTTAGTTTTCTATGACCTGCGCTGAAGATGACAAAAGCAGCACAAAATCCTGCCGCAGTAACACCATTAGACACCACCTGAAGCCACCCCCTTCCCTGCTGCTCAGTGATGGAATGGACAGACCCTAGGAGAAATCCCAGCATTAAATTTGGATCAGCTCAGGGAGAGGGTCAAAAGCTCCAAACCAGTGGTGGGACTGGGGAAAGGCCTTTGGCTGTCACAGCCCCCAGAATGGAAGGAGAGCACAGGCCTGCCCTCTGGTGGACAGCTGCCGTGTAGCCCAAGCTACATGATTAGAGGAAGGGCTGCCAGCAGGCTGGGGGACTGGAGGTGGGGAGAAGAGAAGCAGGGGAGACACAAAGCCACAAGCTCAGAAACAGAGCAATACAGGCCCCCAACAGGCCCTCACCTATTCCCAGGGTACTTGCCCAGGCCCAGTGGCTGTAAACCTGAAACACAGTCTAAGCTGCCTATGTCTGTAAACAAAGCCCCACCTGGGCGCAGGACAGGGTATAGAGATGCCTAGAGCTGCCTTGCTCAGCCTGCCCCTGCCCCACACCCTTGGCCAAGGGCAGGTAGCAGATCAGTTTTAAATGTGTTCTGTTCTCTCACAGGAGAAACAAACCCAGAACAGAAAAACTACAACAGGTCCATGAAGCTTCACATCCTTAAGGCGTTCGTTGTCAGGTTCAGTGGCAGGAGACAGAGGACTGCAGCATCCAGCCACCCAAGGGCCCCTCTAGGCAGAGTGCAGTGGGATAACAAACTTGCAGCCAAAGGGCGAGTGGTAGTTGATGCCCACCTCCTGGAAGACCTGCTGGGGAATGCCAATGTCACACAAATAGACGCGGCCTGCATGCTCCCCCAGTGGCAAAGGCAGGCCCAGTGCCAGTGACCATTTGGCATCAATGCCCTGTTCAACTTCATGCACAGGAGGGTCTATGCTGAGTACTGGCGCCCGGTTCTGGTTGGCCCAGGCCACAGCTGCCTTGTACCAGGGCTGATCTCGCAGGAAGGCGTTCTCAGGGCAATCCAGGCAGTTGATAACCAGGTCCACAGGGCTAGTGGGCAGATCTGTGGGTAAAAAGAGTTACGTATGAAAATCCCTAGAGCAGACAGCAGCCCAGGCTACGAGCCCAGGTGACCCCAGAAGTGTCTTGTTTTCCAGACACCACTCCAACACCTCTCCAAAGGCATGCCTTTCTCAAGGCTGGCTGAAGTTCAAAGGCTAGGGTGTACTGGACCAGCCGGGACCAAGAGCATGCCCCTTCTTGGACCACTGCCCTCATGGAGCTCCCTAGCTAAAGCACTGCTCTGATGAGTGTGCACTCACATAGCTTCCCTACTTAGAACATGACAGCATGAGGATTCCGTGTGGGGCTCCTGCAAAGGAGCCTGCAGTCCAGGCTTTTCCCAACTTGCCATCTGACCTCTGGCAAGGTCCTCTCTCTAGACCCTACTTGTTCTCTCAAATTCTTCTCCCCCTATTCTCACTTAAACCTCAATCTACTCAGACTCTGCTCCCACCACTGATTGCACTTAAAACTGCTCTTGAGCACACCAGGGCCTCCACTTGCTAAATCCCATGGCCAGTGCTCAAATCTCCCAGTGAACTTAACCTGGAGGGGCAGCAGCGCCTTTTAGCTGCACACTCTACTGGGCTTCCTTCTCCCTCCATCTGCTTGGCTCCCTAATTTCAGAACAAACGGCTCAGTCCTTTGACTTTCTGTTTGAGATTTTAGTATCCTCTGTACAATTCACTCCAGATTCACACAACTTCCTGCCCAAGTAACATTCCTCTGCACACAGCACCTAAACTGAGCTTCTGTTCTTCCTCCACCAAGTCCCACCTCAGTGGCAGCCCTCAGTCACTCAGGCAAAAAACCTTGGAGCCACTCCTAGCTCTTCTCTCATTCTCCTCAATGTGTTGATTCTATCTTCACCACCAATTCAGAAACTAACCGCTTTCCACCACTGCCACTGTCTCAGCCACCACCTATTCTCGTAAAAGTGTCTGAGCACCCCTGTCCCCCAATCATCTACTCTCAGCATCCAGACACCTGTCTGGGACCTAATGAACATTCTGCTGATTCCCTGAGCAACTCTCCAATCCACCTGGAGTCAAAGCCCAAACCTTTGACCCTCATGGCCACACTGTCTCCTGCTCCCCAGCCTTCCAACACACCCTTCCCATCCCCATGCTATTTCACTCCATAACACTTACTAATGCATGTCACTTGTGTGTTCAGCTCTCCTAATCAGAATATGAGCTCCATGGAAAAAATGGATTTTAAAAAAAATCTGTTGCCCTATCTATCCCAGAGCTGGGAACAGTTCCACAGTTTATGAAATACCAGCTCTCCTCCGAGTGGTGGGAAAGAATTAGGAAGTAGAAAAGAAGATACCAGGGCTATTTCCCATAGGCAGTTCCAAGGCTCCTTAAAGGCAGAGCACTCTTTTGTAAGCATGTGGTGCCTTTCCACCTGTCACCACTGGATGACACCACTAGACCATCAAACTACCAAGGAAGCAGGAGGCCTTAGGCCCAGCCCTGGAGTAGTGTTTTGTTTTTTTGGTTTTTGTGGTGCTGGGGATAGAACCCAGGGCCTCCTAAATGTTAGGTAAACTTCTATCATTAAGCCATACCTCCAGCCCTGGTACTCACCTTTGAGACTAGACACTTGCTGGCCTTGAGTCTTACTGAAAAGAGACAGCTCGTTGGTGATGGACTCCAGCATCTTGACGAAGTTGGGCAGAAAGAGGATGACCTGCACATCATGGTTGGCAAGGTGCCTTCCACAGCTGATTCCCTGAGCCCCCTTCACATGGGGCCCACATAGCAGGGCCACTGTAGGCCTCTGGTGGACATTCTTAGGGTTCAACCTAGAACAGAAAGCAAACTGGCTACAGATTGGGCAGTCCCTTGTGATCCCTGTCAGAGAAGTAGGTGTCTCTTTCTCTTATTGCTTACCAAGTCCTAGGCTCTAGAGGGGCCAAAATCCACTGCAAACCAGGCAGGTCTACAGGATGGCATTCCTACTGCCCTACATCCCAAGGTCAGTCACTTCATTGCTGGGTCCTCACCTAGATCTCAATGCATAGAACCCTATTGCCAGAACACTGTTATCTGATCTGAGAGCCCTTAATGGTTTCTCCTTGGACCTGTTAGGTCCAAACTCTTGCTTAACAGAGGCTGTTCCCTCTCTGCATCCTTCTTCTGCACTTCTTCCCCCAAAATATTACTCTGCTCCAGCAAGGCAGGTCTCCTCTGCACTGGTAAGGCTCTTTCTTGCCTATGCTCAAACTGTCTCCTGCCTGGAAAGTGGGGGGTGGGGGATAAGGGGGTTTTGAGGGGTACAAGGGATTGAACTCAGGGCCTCACACATGTGAGGCAAGCACTATTACTTGAGCCACATCTCTGACCCTCTTAGATATTATTTTCGAGACAGGCACTCACTAACTTTGCCCAGGCTAGCCTTGGATCTCGATCCTCCTGCCTCTGCCTTCCAAGTGGCTAAGATTATAGGCCTGTGGCCGCCACTCACTTTTCAAACTCCAAGACGACACCATCTCTCTCTCTCTCTCTCTCTCTCTCTCT